AGAGTTGAAGGGTGAAGGAGTAGATTTGCCTGATGTGTATTCACTCATACATGATCAGATCTATCTTGCCAACATCCACCAGGGTTGATGAGCATTGCTGCTGGGGGCATCAAGCACAGCTCAAAATTGAATCGCTGGCAAAGATCATCAACGACGGAGGCCACGGTGGAGTCGTGGCTTCGGATGGAAGTGTTAATGACACGGCGCAGGATGTACTCGCAAGTGGGCAGATGCTGGGGTTGTGTCATTCACCCCTCCCTGGCGCTCATGACTGCCAATGGCTGACAGACACCTGTCCCATCGTGACCTTCGCCATCAGCAGAACGAGGGCGCCGCAGGGCCACGCTGTCAACTCTCATCACGCTAAGTGACAGTCAGCCACCGGAACCTATTAGTGCATGCGCAGCTCTCTCTGTGGAAGAAACCCGCCAAATGGGAGACCGCGTGCAATAGATCTGCACGTGTTGCTACGCGGCTATCAAATGTCAGGAGGGGGTGAAAAGTTCATTGGGAGTTCACGGAGAAGGTTTCGACTCCTCCTCGCTCACCTGGTGCGATGCATCATGCGCGCCGCTGACAACGGGTTCTGCCTGACTGCAAAATGGATCCGAAGTCCATGTATCAGAATCAGAACATGGCAGAGTGGCGTGTATCGCCGCGGGGGCATCGAGCTGCTTGTTGGCATTCCATTTAGAGGAGTTTTATTTCAAACATTGAGCAGCTGTCGATTTTATGTTTTGTTTCTTTACTTCACACACACAACGAGAGGACCATAAAGGCCATCTGTCAGTGACAAAAACATGTCTGTCTCCTGGTCTACTTCCTGCTCTCCTTTTAATGCGCACGGTGGAGCCCTTTCACAGACAATTAAATGTTTTATTCCCTGATCATGATAGTAGATGAGTTTTGGCTGCAGGAACACCCAAACCTGAGTGCCCTTTGCACGCATGAAAATATATGGAAATTCTAAATTGTCACCTTAGAACGTCATTATCAAACACTTCTCTAAAAGTTTTAATCATGAATATTGATTGAAAAATGACAAATTGGCTTTATGTTAGTCGCTTTCCAGCCTTTTGTGGGTAATTTTGTTTTGGTCCAATCAGATTTCAGGTTTGATTTGTTGCCATGCTAGTGGGGCCACATACAATAAATTGTTGTAAAGACAATTTTTGATTTCATTTTGGACCCAGAGAAAACCCACGCAAGCACGGGGGGAACATGCAAACTCCACACAGGGAGGCCGGAGCTGGAATTGAACCCAGTACCTCTGCACTGTGAAGTTGACGTGCTAACCACTCGACTACTGGGCCGCCCTATATACATATATACGTGTATGTGTATGTATTTTTTTTTTTCAGAACCTGGTATACAAACCTATTTTAGTCAAACAGAAGTCTGAAGAACTATTAGAGATAGACACAAAACGCAATAAACAAATCATGCCTCGCGTCAAAAAAAAAAAAAAGTCAAGTGAGCTGTAACGGTATGTGCTTGGATGAAAGCCTAAAATGCATATCAAATTATATGTACATGTATGTGTTTTAGAATGTGGACATGGCTTATGGCGGATAGTTTGTGAGGCTTGGCTCCCAGTCGGCTTCACCTTGACCTTGGCCAGCATACGCTTCACCTCCTCGCCAGCCATCCGGCTTTTCAGACAAACGCCAGGTCTTCGGGGGTAATAACATCCCACATATCATATCATGAGGGCAACAGGGTCACGTGAACCTTGTTGGCTTGATTTATTAAGGCACGATGCTTTGTCTTGATGGATGGCAAATAGCGGCCATAGCACCAGGACAACATTTCTCTCTAGTGGATAAAGATTCATGTGATAAAGCTACAATTGTGTGTGTCGTCTCCCTGCTGAATCACAAGTGTATATTCATGCCGGTGCACTGTTGATGTGCGCATTTCACTGACCCGCGCATCGTTGCATGACTAACAAGGATTTTCTGCTGCGAACATTCATTGAGGACCTGTCAGGGCTTCTGTTCCCTCGCCAAAGTCTCAGCTTCAATCAGGCGTTGGTGTGACAAGATGCAGGAAAAGTACGGAACTAGTGTGTAGTAAACAATTCTATTGATCGGATCCGGCTCCAGTTCAGTCAGCCAAATGCTTCCATTTGTGTCACAATGACTTACGATTAAACCCGTAGTCACCTCAAGCATCTACTTTTTCATACTGCTCCAACATCTGCTCAAATGACAAACAGCAGTAGATTGTAAAGAGGCTAAAAATACATCCTGTAAACAATTCATCCTCAAAGTACCTGCTTTGTTTTCTTACCGTTTGTGCTTATAACTATTATTTTTTCCTGAAATTATTTTACAGCACCAACTGTTATAAAGTTTGCTCTTTAATGTACCCTTTACCCCATCCCCTTTCATTTAATTCCCCTCCCCCATTTCTGTTCATGCTTGCAATGTCACATTTGCATTGATGAACTACACTTGTGTTCATGTTAATGAGGATTGCTATATATAATATGTAGGGTTGCAACTAACATTTTAATAATCAGTTCTTCTGTCCATTGTTTTGATGATGACACGGATAAAAAAAATGTTTTAATTTCCATCCCATTTCAAAAACAGGACATTGTTTCAAATTGACTGTGTAGAAAATGAATTGATTCTGATTCAGTTGCTTGTTTAGTCCGTAAAATATCAGGAAATGTGCAAAAATATCGATCGTTGTTTTCCAAAGTAAAACCAAATGTTTTATTTTGATTCAACACAAAGATGATCATCTGCTTTCACAGAAGACTACGGAAATGGTTGATTATTAACTGTTAAGAAGCTGGAATTCTGAAGATTAGGATTTTTTTTTTAAACGGTGTCCAAACGATTACACGATTATTATTAAGAATACTTCTTGATTAATTTGATTATCTATTAGTTATCGATTAATCCTTACACCTCTGATAATATATAGTGGACAAGAGTATTAACGCAACACTTTTTTGTCTGCTGTGAGACTTTTTTTTCTCTTTCTCTGTGCACATAACACATATCTTGATCAAATATCACTCACGAATCTGTCGAAATCTATGGTCCAGAGGCCTTCTCAAGACAACTGATTCAGCACAGCTCACGTGTGTTGTATCCACATTTCCTGCACAGATTTAGACCGATATCCAGCCATCCATTTTCCAAACCACTTATGGTCATGGGAGTTGCCTGTGTGCTGGACCTTATGCCAACAGTCTTCGAGCAGTAGGTAGTCGTACACCTTGAAATGGTCACCAGCCCATCGCAGGCTGCACATAATGGACAACCATTCACACTGTTGTGTCCAGTCAACCTACCGTGCATGTTTGTGGAATGTGAGAAGAAACCGGAGTACCCGGAGAAAACCCACGCGGGCATAGGGAGAAAATGCAAACTCCGCACAGAACTCATGACTGCTCAATCAAAGAGCACATATTTATAGCCACTCACATTCATAACCATGTGCAGTTTAGACTCACGTTAACTAGACAAGCATGTTTTTTGGGATACCCACGCAAGCAGGGGCAGAACTTGCACTCAAACACGGATCTTCTTCCCATTTATGCAAACAGAAATATCAGAGTGATGGAGCATGCAAACGGTGCATAAAAGTCCACCTCTTGATTTAAAGTAACAGCAGTCAGGAAACTTGCAGGGAATCCTTTTTAAATTTTAAATCCTATGTCTTAACCGCTCGGTGACTCTGTGAAAAATGAGTGCGACACAGTCCAGTGAAAAAAACAAAACAAAACAAAACAACAACACTTGCAGTTTAGCATGCAAACTAATCACATTGATCCAGTGTGGCGTTTGTTTTGTGGCACCAACTTGTGTGAAGCATTCCCGTGTTCATCTGGACAGCTTTTTGTTTACTTTGAAGAATAAACCGATCAAGAAGAAATATTTTCCGATCCGACATCAGGAGCTTATCATTGTAAAGGAAAAATGATTAAGGTGCCTCTCCAGTGAGAGTCGTGCTAGTGCGCATTTCAAATTATATTGAACGACATAAGTGCACAAAAGTGCTCAGGGACGGAATTGATTTGAGGGTGGCAAATAACAGTTCGGACATGAACTTTATATGAATGCGTCTTGTGGCCAATGTGTTCTGTCTTGCTGCAGCTTGCAGCAACAATTTCGCTTTGAGGTAGAGACGTGCACCTTCTCGCGGATTCTCTTGCATAGCATCAACTCATCAAACATACAGCTGAATAAAAATGCTAATCTCTTCCTTGTTTGATCACGATTAATCATCTTGTCAGATTTGGATGATTACAGAGGAGCGGGGGTAGGCAAAGTGAGTAAAATCTAACCGGGCTGAGCCGATTAACCAGCTTTGACGCTTTCCTTGAAATCCATCTCAGAATGTTTTAATGATGACAAGGAGCTCTCGTAGCATTTTGTAAAAATGAGCACGGATAAAAATAACTGTTTGCTGCTGAAAAAAGAAAGAAAAGGAAGTTGCTTGAAAGAAAATCAAAGTTGAGGCAAATGATGCCGCTTGTGTTGAAGATGTTTGATAAGCAGCTGGCGGCTAATCTATCATTCGCACTCCACAGTGGCTCCCTTTTTCATCTTTCCTGGAGCATAATTGACAGCATGATTACACATGTTCGATGGAGAAGGATTGTTTGGGTTTTTGGAGGAGCTTTTTCAGCACAGAAAGAAAAGCAACTCCTTTGAAGCAGTGAACTGCTCAACTCAACTAAATTTTGTGAGCACTTTGAAAACAACCACAGCTGCAAAGTGCTGTACATAACGTAACAACGAACTAATAAATAAAGACGGCTAACTAATAACATAAAAACAACAGACACAATAATACACGAAAACAATGCCAAGTCATAAACTGAGTCGAAAACCAAAGAATAAAAATGTGTTAAAATGAGGTACTCACATTCCGACCAGACTCTTGCTCTCCCGCTCACTAATTTTTCACAATGTCGCTCAAAGTGGGTGTTGCCTGGAGGACCCTTGAATGAATGTGTATCCTTTTAGACAGCTTGGGGACACAAAGCGACTAAAAAGCCTCAGTGACTGTGTCATCCTTTTACGAGCAACACGGATAAATGGATAAATGATGTCACTTTCCAGACATTACACACAATACTTTTACACATTTCACAATATTTTTCCATGTTTTGGCTTCATGTCCACAAAAATGTCCTTTTGGTCACAGACCACTGATTGCTACTTGAAGGCCATTCATCAAGATCAAATTTGGAGGTCAAAGAGCGCCTTGCACTAACCACGCCCGGCGGCCACCTGGTGGAACAAATTCCGGCCAGCGAGGCTTTGAGCTGATATATATTTCCTTGGCTCAAACATGAAGGGATGTGTCGGTATAAGAAAGATTTGTGCTATTTGATTGGCAGTTGACACATGAGTGGACTGCATACAGCAGACGCACCTACAGTGGGGAAACAACGGCTTGAAGATTTTGAAGCCTCATTTAATATGCTTGGTGATCCTTCAAATTTGGAAGGGTTGTTAGCAACACTCTTCTCTGTGGTGTGTCAAATTCACAAGGCATTTTGATTTCTGCTTTACAAAGACTTTAAGCCAGCCCCGAGGAGCAGTGGGCATCAGTGTCCCACCTCAAAAAAGATCCAAATTTAGTAGCAGTATTTTAGTGAAGGGAGAATTAGAGTCAACCAAACTCACATGGTTTGGTTGTGGTGGAAACTGGAGTACCCGGAGAATGAGGTCAAATCCAAAGGAGGCTATAGTGCCATGCTTTCATCCGTGTGCACCCAAATGACAAACACGGCTAAAAGGAAAGCTCACCCTGGAACCTCCACCACCACTCGCCGCCATTACTGAGCTTGGATGTGTGTAAGAAGCTCAGTTTCACACACCCTACGGCGCACTTCGTGGCTGGCCTGTTGTAAAGAGCCAGGCAACCGAGCCTGTGATACGTTGGTGGACCAGGGGTGGGGGAAATTGCTGAAAAAAGGGTCAACAAAGAGACGGTGAGACATGAGGGAAGCCAAAAGTAGGAAGTTAAATGCAGCACGGTATTCCCCCTGGAGAACAGCCATCCCACCCTTTTGTAACCAAATATATCAAGCTCAAAACAACACAAAAATAAGTGATTCTAAACTCAATATAGAACTCTGGAATCCAACGTCAACAAAATCCAAAAAGGAGGTGTGCTACTGTGTTTTCAAGTTAGACAGTTTGCGACTGTTTGCTGATTAACATCTGCTGTCTGGCAGGGAAAACCTAAAGAGTGCAGACTGCAGATCTGCTCCTTTCATCTCTCCTCCCTCGTTTGGTAAGTGGAGCACTGTGTCGAAACGCGGACAGCCGATCTCTCTTTAAAACGTTGAAAGCTAAGCCTAATTAGATTTGATAAGGGAGTCAACACAAAATCCATTTCCCCTCAGTATCTCCAATTCAAGCCCAATGCTACCAGAGACAACATTGTTCTGCATCTTAAAGGACAATGTTTCCTTGTCGCATTTGGCACGTTACATCGCATTACATTTTCCTTCCACAAATAAGAAAAGAATCCATTCTCAATTGAGATGACTAGAAGACACAGGATGACTGACTATTCACTCCCACACTCTGGCATGACAGTACATCCAAGCGGCTGAACAAGTACACACCTGCTGCCTGGAAATAAAATAGCTAAATATCAAGTGGAGACAAAAGGAAAGGGCAAAACACCGCTGAGACGCACAACACAATCAAATGAGTCTGAGCATATCACAACTTCTTAAAAGGCGTCAAAAGTTGTGCCCAGCTTTCTGCTCTGCGCAACTCCCAAATGGCGTCGCATACGCAGGTTGGGTTAACAGCACAACTGGCAAATAAAAAGCATTTGTTGCTCAGAGCAGCCAGAAACAATTACTAATCTTGTACTTTTGGGCACCTAGCAAGATTGGGGATAAACTGTGGTTGTTATGCACAGCTCAAGGGTGTGTGTGCCTCTCTGAGAAAGTTGCTGATGGAGAAGAACTCACATTGATTTCTGTGATCCAAAAAATAGAGACGTGGGAATTAAAGGTTTACACGGCAAAGATAAGAGACATTGAGAATGCTACCAATATGAATTGAGAACTCTCAACCCCAAATGAGATGTGATATTTGCGGGTAGCGGAAAGGAAAAACGGCGGAAATTAAAAGAACAAGGGGCGGAGGTGATGCTAAAACCAGACACTTGAAAAGTACAGACTGAAGTCAGGCAGTAAGAAAGGAAGACCCATCAAGGCGGAGACTTGTCAATACCACCATCCCTCCCCTCTAGCATCATCGGGCAACATGACCACATCTGCACCCAAGCATCTAAACCAGTGGTTCTTAACCTTCTTAGAGGTACCGAACCCAACCAGTTAATATGCACATTCACCGAACCCTTCATTAGTGAAGGCATTTAGTTCGCTTAGTAGTCAATGTGTGACTGTCGTGATAGTACGTCGTACAATTTTTTTAAAAAGTATACTTATCTCTTGAAATGTTACTTTTTTTCCGTTTTTAATAAACACATTTTTTAAAAATATCTTGAATTTGTGTGTGTGTGTGTGTGTGTATATATATATATATATATATATATATATATACATATATATACTGTATAGACACAAATCAAATTTATAAAAGTAAATAAAATTTAAACAGATAAGTAAACTTTTTTCTTTTGATTGTTCAACGTACTATCACGACAGTCACACATTGACTACTAAGCGAACAAAATTTCCCACACCACTTATTGGACAAGCAATGTCATGTGATCATCTGCAGCCAGTGACGGCCAAGCGGGCGTGTCATAACTAATTGACATGTTGAGTCGCGTGTGTCTTACCCTCCATGGCAGAGGCTCCGTCGAACCCCGGACACCGATTCCTAGGGTTCGATCGAACCCAGGTTAAGAACCACTGATCTAAACTGCTTTGTTGCTCCGCGAGTGGCTCGCGGAGCAACAAAGCAGCAAAAGTTGAACGTCTTTGTTGAAGTCACTCATCAGTACTGTGGCCCTTTGAATCAGGGCTGGCTCGCAGAGGGAGAAGGAGCGTCTGCCATGACTAGGACGATGGGGTGTGGTGCAGCGGTGATGACAAACATTGCAGGCCAAACAGGTGGATTGAAGACACAGAGAGCTCAAAATCAGATCGTGTTTGATTTTGGCTGATGGGACAATTGTTATTGTGTCGTAGACGGCACAGAAGGAGGCACAGGTAGATGGACGAGTAACAAAGGATGGGGCTCACATTGCACTCACCCCCACTGTTGATTTCCCTGGAGATGGTTAGAAAGGGAAGTGAGGGCACACAAAGCATGAGCTCCAGAATGAAAGTGTCTTCTTCGGTCTTAATTGCAGGTGCGCAAAGGAAATCGATAACCGTCAGCCACCTTCTTCCACGTGTCCTTTAGCCGCAACGTTCGGCCCTCATTTTAGGCATTTCATACAACCAGGAAGGACAAAGTCACACAAATGCATACTCGGGATGAAGGATTTTGAAAATCTCTCTCTCTCTCACTCTCTGTGTATGAAACAAAGCCTACCGATGAAAATGAAGTTGTTTTATTTTTTTTCCAAAATTGCAGCGTTTAGATTTGAAAACTGCATTCTACTGCAGTGCATCGTCAATTTGAATTCCATGAGTTGTTCACCCTCAGAGACACTTAATCGAAAACAAACTCGAAATAGAAAAGGATTTCCAAAAAAATAAATAAATAAATAAATCGGATTCTCAAGGATCGGGACCGACCCTTGCTATGAATTACGAAAACAAAAAAAATTGTAAATGACATCCCTTCCTAAAAATGTTCATAACTGCCTGTATGAATAGTAGGCCTGCGAATTGAATGATGACCACTCCAGCTAACCTGCAATGAACAGTATGACATTCAACACATATTTTCAACCCTGCACACGCTGAAGACCTGCTGCGCGTAAATACATGGATGGATGGACAATGAAGGGAACATTTTTTTCCTTCCTGCCACACAAAGTCACTGATATTAAAAGTCACCGCCCGAGGCCTGTGAGGCTGACACGATGAGGACACGACAGTCTGAATCCAGAGTGACAAGCTTGAAAAAAAAAAAAAAGCACACAAGCAAGAATACAGTACCTGGAAAGACGCTAAAACCGTAACAAACCTAAACATATTTAGCACTCAATTAAATTTACCATTCAAGCAAAGGTGTCCAACTAATTACAGAAAATTAGAGGAATGCAAGGGCCACTTTAAACATTTTCACTTTTAATTTATTAGACGCTAAAACATTTATTTATTTTTTTAATTTGTTTTTTCAGTCATCAATGCTGACACGTGACAAGAATCCTCCCACTCCCGCTGTTGGAGTGAGCAATGGGCCCGACGAGTCGGTTTGAGAATTTTTCAGATAAGCAACCACAATTTGGTAGATATACTGTACGATATGCAAAATCTACTTAGCTGGTGGCTACTAACGCAACCAAAGCTGTTGACAATGTGAATAGCTAACGAGCATAGCTAAGATCAGCATGTTCCCACTCTGATGTTACTTCACAAAGTGGAAATCGCAGAAAAGTAGCTAGCGGTACTCATTTTCTGAGAGATAAGTATGTTTATTGGTGTACATTTTGATTTCATTTGCAAAAATGAAAATTGTTCATTTTATTTTTACAGTTACAAATGTGTCTAAAGATTGCACTGGAATTGGAAAAAAAAGTTATTTACCCAAACATTTCAAAAGTATACATTTTGGAGCTGCAATTGCAATACTGTGATAGCGCAATATTTTTTTTCGGAAAAATAGATTAGATTACCATCAGAATTTGACACCGGTCCATGCCAAGCTATGAATGAACAAGAGTGAGCCGCATCATAAAAATATGTCGTCCGGTGGCACATGAAAGCATGCTCAGTATAACCCGGGGGGGGGGGGGTTAAACAGTTTTTCATTTTATTATGTACTGTAATGATGATTTACATGTGATGCTGACTTAGGCGTCCAAAACAACCTTCTGTATACGAATATGCCAACTTAAACCTGTTCCTCCACAAACAAACATCCACTTAATCCCACCAAAAGTCAATCCTTATGGATACCTAAGGATGTTGACAAGCACAGAGCCTTTTCCTTCCATATAAACAAACCCAGCAAGAGAAATCGAGACAGGTAGAACCCAAACTGCTGCAAGACACGTTGAATATTTCATTATGTTTTTACTGGGCCAACGGAAGGAGCATGTTTGTATCAGTATCTGCCGACATATTTATTTCAAATCTCCGCATGCTAACGACTTTTGTTTTGGTAGCTTGTATTCACCAGGCCGAGGCAACAAGCAGGTCGACAGGCTGGGAAGCTTGGGACAAACACATATGTTTTGAACAAATATTTATGGTGGAAGATGAGTAAACTCTAGAGGTGGTGTTTTGACATCAATGAGCTATGGCAGTTGCTGCACATGAAAACAAGCCAGGCGAATTGTGTCAGACATTTCCTTCTCAGCAAACCTCAGCTATTCGAACAAGGACTTGAGTTTGAAATGGAGGGCATGCTCTCATAGAGCTCTGCTGGTGCCCACATTCAGGTTTTTTTTTTTTTTTTTATCTTGCTTTCATGCAAGGCAAGCTGATGTTGCTGGTGTCAAGGTCAGTTTCCTCACATCCTCATCCTTTGTGCCCCTTTATCAGCACCACTGCCCCCTCTCTCGCTCCTCCCTTTTGGTTTATCTTCCCGCCCCCTCACCCCATACTCGCTCCTCAGAGTTCACTTGGTAACAGGTGAGTTCCCCGATCTAATTACAGGAGGCTTTCCCAGGGTGCAGAGGGGGCGGCTGATTCGCAGGACGAGAGAGACGCTGGTAGCTCAATAACATTCTCTACAGCCTGATTTTATAAACAGATCATAAATCACATGGCCATGCGAGTGTTGAATGCACATTTTTCATCTGTGGTTTTAATCAAAATTCAAATACAAGTCTAAACATAAAACAAAAACGGTGAGGTGATGTGTGAAATCAGATTCATCTTGGTAATTTATTGGGCTCCAACTAAGGGCTGTATTGACAGTAGACTCGTCATTGACTCAGAACAGCCGTCTGCTTCCTAAATGCGAGGGACCTTGTTTTGGGCAAGAAGCAACGAGTCACAGAGCACATACAAACACATTTTAACATCGACATTAGTGAATAAGGACAATTTAGAGACTTTAATGAATGCAACATGCATACTTCTGGAGGAAGTCGGAGTACCCGGAGAAAATTCATGCAGCACATGAAAAACCTGCACACCGTAAACAGAGATTCAAAGGCACTGATGCTTGATTGTGAAGCAGAAGTAGACCATTGCACCGTGCTGGTGACTACGAAACCAATGAAGTCATTATAGATTGCATCAAAAGAAAAATTCTTACTTCGCAGTATTTCAAGTTGTGTGCTCATAAGGACACAACATTTTCCTTCATTCAAAATTTCGTATTTTATTATTTAGTATAACATTGCTGCTCAACGGGCTACTTTCAATGCTACAAAAAAATGGTTAGTAAGAACCTAGGAGAGCCAAAATGCCAAAACAGTTTTTTCAGAAGCCATAGTTCGGCCCATTTTCAAAAAACGAGCACCCTGCCGTGGCAATGAACTCAACTCAATTCACACCAGGCAGCACTTTGGAAGATAGTGAGTAATTCTTCAAAAAGAGACGTCGAAGCTGTTTAATGCCACACCAAGTGGAATTTTACTGTCAAAGTAAACAGAAAAGAGTAAGCAGTGTTCATGGAGGATAACGAATATGACTATTGTTCTATTATCTGTGGAATGTGTTGCTCCACCATTTTGTTCAAATATCCCTCGCTTAAAAGGACCGACAACTATGACTATTGATCCTAATATTAGCATCTGAATGACGTTTTACATTACATGTTCGCATTAAGCAAGCGGGCCATTCTTACAGCAACATGGTTTGGCTCTGTTAAATACGCAACCTGTAATCAATCCCCTTTGTTGTATGTTCACGCAGTGAACTTAAACAGCTTGAAGCCTCTTATTTGTTGAGTTGTTCGATGTTGGCCAAACTGCTGCTCACTGTGAAATGAGTTGAAATGATTTCACTGCTATGGTACAGCGCATGTTTTGGCTTACAATTCAAAGAAAAAAAAAAAAACAAACAAAAACAAAACAAAAAATAAAAGCAACTCATAGGTTGGGTCACTTGTATCTCAAGGCATCACAGAATGTTAAAAAAACAGCACCGCTCTACCTCTGTAACTACTACGGTATACCTCTCCCCCCTGCTTACTGACTCCCACTTTGGCCTCATCTTTTTAGGAGAAAGAAAAGGACCAAGTGGTTAGATTAGCAGCAGCATAGTTGACTCTCAACATCAAACAATAGTGACTCACTATTCGTCTCATCACACCGACACGGGTCCACATGTGAGCGATCTCAAATTGGTAAATATTATGTTCTGTCTGTGCACACGTCAACAAACTCACTCAAGCATCTAGGGGAGAAAATGCTATTCCCATTCAGTTGGGAGTGTATTTTCAATTTAATGCTACAAAAATTGATTCAAGCATCAAGAGTTGAAGGTTTGGAGCATCAGAGCATAAAACTGCTTTTTTTTTTGTTATTGTGTTTAAAGAGCAGCAGGTTAAATGACGTGGTAAGAATGTGTAAAAACAAAAATGTGAAAAAAGAGATGGTCTAAATACATCTTCAGAGGAGGATGTGGAAAGTTTTCACAAACAGCCACTGTTTCTACCCCGGTCAAGGACGACACCTTGAACTGATGTCCCAAACGTTTTATTCTTGGAACACCGTGAAAACTAAAAGACATTTCAACATCAACAATCAATAATCTGTTTAACAAGAAATTAAATAAATAAGCAGAAATAACATACCGTGTGCCCCTTGTTCAACCGAAAGTAGATAAACTAAAATAAAGTCGACCAGCCGGTAACGTTTCGTCCCTCTCTCTCGCCATATTTCTTTCTGGATCTCTCTAATTCCCTCGCTATCCGCCACACGTGACCCTAAATCGGAAATGGTCCTCGAGAAAACATTCCAAATACATCTTGAAACGATTCCAAGAGAAACATAAATATCAAGTTTCATATGGAAACAAAAAATACTTTTACAAAACAACGTCAAATAAATGAGATCCTAGTTGTCATGGCAACCAATGGATACCAATACTGGCGCCATCTACAGCCATCCTGAGCTGCACTGTCAAGATAGTAAGCACATGGAATCACACACTGACAACGTAATAGTTGGTGGGCTTAAGTTTGCATCTTATAACATCATTGATTTTTCATAGATAAGCTATAAAACAAGCGTTCATCTCTGCAGAGGAAGAGATATTTGCAGTTTTCATTGTTCCCAGTTGCGCCCCTGACAGCTTTTTGAAAGTTCTCCAAAAATTGCTGCGGTTCCACGGAAAAGCGTGGACACACCAACTGTGTCTGCATTGCTCCGTGCTACTGATGGAGTCGCGGACCCTCGCATGATCACTTGCTGAAGCAGTCTGAAGTCTGAGATGGTGATTAACCTTTAAAAGTTTCAAGTGTGTCACAGGTCACCTTGGGAAAGTCAAGCCAAGTTAAGTCACAGCGTATCTCAAGTCAAGACCTACGATAAGTCAAGTCACCTTATTGATGCCGTCTTACCTGCAGTCACTGCGTCGACATAAAGATAACGTCAAATAATAGCATGAGCTCATTTAGAGGTATGCATGTATAACACCTCTCAAGATAATGCACTCTAATTTCACACTCCTTAATGATAAAACTCAAATAATCATCATGCAGTTTGATATTTGACAATCAATCCAAATTTGTTTTACATTCCAAAC